CTTATCTAGAAGCTTCCTAAAATCTATCAAGATAAGGACATATCATTAAGAAACACTATGAACACCAAAGATACAAAGTATTACTTCATAACAGCATCAGTAATTTCAGCACATACATGTAGCTAGTTAAGTATAACTGTGCTGATGGTAGATGTACTATCTAGTCTACCAACAGTAGATCTATAATTAGGCACATACATGCACATTTCTAATGCACATGCACCAGCAATCCAGCATACGAATGGTATGAGATCTAATCTGTCACAATTCACACAAATAATAATGATTTTAACTTGTAGCATCAAGACTATACATAATAATTAAATTAGTCTAGGTTTGCCATTAGGCTACGATTGAATCTAATTTTTATGGCCTGAATCTACACTTCAACAAAATAATGTCAAAATAATGCAATATTAACTGTCAGGTGTGGCCTGCAGGCTGCCACGCCTGTCACAGGCTGTCAGATCATAGACCACTAAGACCTAGAGATGGGCGAATCCAGAAATTTGCATTCGATTCCAATTCTGAATACTTTTGAGACAGGAATCGAATACCGATTCCGAATACTACATATGCGCATGCGCAAAGCCATGTGGTATCAATTAGAGCAATAAAAATGCAATAATAATGAATAATTAAGGTATTAACTACTGATTTATGAACTATTATTAATATTAAAAAATGTGGTTGGGTGTGGCTTAATTCGGAATCATTTCAAATGATTCCCACTTCTCTTTCGATACGAGTATGATTTCATTCGGAATCGAAGGATCGAATACTCCGGACTCGGAATCGCCCATCACTACTAAGACCAGGCTGTCATCATGGCTCAGTTCAGTAAAGATGAGGTTTCTTTTCTTAAAGAATATACCTGCATCATCTTGTGATCTAAAACATGATACTCAATATTTTGATAATGTTTGTCAGAACAGTTACATGAAGTTACATACAAGTACATTGTCACAATTTCAGTCACGTCACTCGGATGGTAGATTAGTCATATGGATGGGTCACCTTTACTGTATATAACAGATCAAACAACTCATTCTATACCCTTTACACAATGAGCTGTCAGCATTATCTACAGTAACCAACTAACCATGATACTATGGCTCAATTCAGTAAAGAAGAGCATTCTTTTCTTAAAGAATTGCTCGAGCATGTAGAGATTGTAACAGACGCTCCTAGCTATCTGTTCACCAAACTTATTTCTTAATCAACACGAAACTCAACTGAGCTCAAAAACCAACTAACAAAACTAACTCACAACTAACACACAACTAACACACAACTAACACACAACACACTTATATAGATCTTATAAATGTCCAGAAGGTTCTATAACATACAAGAATACTTTACATGATTGTTCTAGAATATACTTGAATAAACACATAATATATAATTACAATAGTA